GTCGACGACCCATGCATGGTATCACACAGCTAACTGGCATTACCGTCGTGGGGTCCCCGTACACGGAACAAAACACGAGTGTTCGATTCAGGTCAGTCGACGATCCATGCATGGTATCACACCACTGACTGGCGTTACCGTCGTGGGGTCCCCGTACACGGAACAAAACACGAGTGTTCGATTCAGGTCAGTCGACGACCTTGCATGGTATCACACAACTGACTGGCGTTACCGTCGTGGGGTCCCCGTACACGGAACAAACCACGAGTGTTCGATTCAGGTCAGTCGACGACCTTGCATGGTATCACACCACTGACTGGCGTTACTGTCGCGGGGTCCCCGTACACGGAACAAAACACGAGTGTTCGGTTCAGGTCAGTCGACGATTGGGGCCGCATCACTGACTGGCGTTAAGGTCCTGGGGTCCCCGGGTTGGGCACTCCAGAGGGTCTCACGGCAGTCTTGTGGGTTGGGCACTCCAGGTGGGCACTCCAGGGAGTCTCACGGCAGTCTCTGGGGTTGGGCAGTCCGGCGCGTCTCACGGTAGTCTGTGGGGTTGGGCACTCCAGTCTCACGGTAGTTTCTGGGGGTGGGCACCCCAGGCAGTCTCTGGAGGTAGTCTCAGCGGGCGACAGCGGACGAGGTGGGCGGGAGTAACAGCTGACTTTAAAATCTAACAACCCCACAGCGAGGGTGGGGGAAAAACAGGTCATAGTCTCTAATCGAGACCTCATGCAGCGCGATCGTGAAGCTGTAGTAGCTTCCGGCAACCTCGGACCGGATTCTTGGTGGGCACACACCGCGGCTTCGAATCCCCATCGACTAGCTTGGGCTCCCATGCCGCCCCGTGCGTCGCCCAAGCGAAGGTGTAGGAGAGCCCGACGACAAACCTGTCGCCCTGCCGCGACAGCCGCGATCGTTCAGTCATCGACCGCCTTGGCTACGGTGGCCTCGAAGGGCTGCACCCAAAAAGCACCGTACTCGACGGGCATAATGTCTAATTCAATCTGACACGAGCCGACCTCACGGGAGCCATGCGCTGCTTCGTAAAACAATTGGATACCTGCTGAGATGCGCTGAGGCGGTGGCCATCTTGTTTGGGTTGGCTGCGTCCATCAACATTACCTCGAAGCTGCAACGCAAACTGTGGAAGAACGCTGGGCTTTGCAACATGCAGCTAAACCAACCGCGGATCTGCGCATGTCTTTAGTACCCTGACTGTCGCTGCAACGTTCCAAGTAGTCGGTCAGCAGCCACGACGTTGTCACGCAACATGTTGGCAGATGTTGGCAGGCAAGGTCACAAACAGGATTCGTAACTCTGCCACTCTCAAGCTGTATCTGAGCTCCGGTGCCTGCGTCGGAAGGGTCTGCATGGCTTCCCTGGACAGAGATTCGAAGCAGAACGCTGTCGTGGGTATTATGCGACTGGACACATGATACCAGAAGAAGCAGCAGTACATCAGCTGATCTGCAACAGATTTCACTCCTGTGGACGTTCTCAGAATGGCCCGCGAGGACAAACTTGTGCCAGTGTGCTCTTCGTGGAATTTGTGTTCCGCTTTGCCAAAAGCTTGACCGTCAGTCGAGCGAGACGACGGCGGGTGCCAGGGGTGATGAGTGGTTGTGGACGGGGATCCATGCAAATTCAATCTCGCTGATCTAGAGCGGGCTTTGCCCACCAGCCTAGCATCCAGACCTTGAGTTCCAAGCCCTGCACTTCCTTTCGCTTTCCAAGTCCTCAATGCTGTTAAGAGGCTTCTCCTTCCAGATCATGCAGCGACTGCCAACGTGTGAAAGCGTGAACACAGCTGATGGCACCTCTTTGACGTTCGTCTGAAGAACCATACCCGTGGCTATGATAGTGCCATTCGCACGGACCGCGACTTTGTTCTGCAACCTTGCGACCAACGACACTCAGATACTCTTTGCGAAAAGCAACCCGCAAGAAACTCAATGGCCTTTGTTCGTTGGCAGATTGACCCTGCGCGAGGTCAGCGACCGGCTTGGTCAGCCAATTCTCCTAGGCTCTGGCACTCTCTCCTTTCCCAGCATAGGGAGCATAAAGACTCAGCTCTGCACTGTGAACACGGGACCGAGCTCCCAGATCGTATCGCTGGTAAACAGCTGGTTCTCGCCAGGAAACCTTTGACACGGAATGCAAACGCACATCAACTGCAACTCAGTTCCACAGCAAGTGAGGGCCCAACTTGGCTTTCAGTTTCGAACCTGCACAGCAAGCTAGATTGTTGATCGGAGATGCAGCATAAATCCCGCACATCGTGAAAACCTGAGAATGAGGCACATTTCGCGCCCGTTGTGGCATAGGCACAACTCCAAAGTCTTGCGATTCTGCAGGAGAGGGTGCACGAGATCCAACTGCTAGCACCAAATCCGTGCCGGAGTGACTTTGATTTCGAGGAGAGCCCCAAACCCGAAACTAAGCAACGGAGGGCGGGGGCCGAAGGGGGAGAAGGGTCCTGTAATTCCAAAAATAGCACCGAACACAGGCGATCCCAGGCAAAGATCAAGCAGGCACACACACAAACTGTGGCGTTTGCTCCAAATTGCTGCCTCTTCTTGGCCCACCACTTTTTGTAGTGCTGTCTGACAAGGCAACAACACATCACTTGCAGGACTGGGACAGTGGCTGTGCAAGAGCTCAGGCCCGCTCAGCAGAATGGTCGAGCGTGAACATTGGAACACGCACGCTGATACTTTGCATGTTGATCTCCAGCTCGCTCAAGGCATTCGCCTGCGCTGTTGCGACTTTCTGCTACAGGCATGCTTCTGCAGTAAAACCAGTCATTTGCACCGACAAGCAGCTGTGGCCTTACATGCTGGCTTACGAAGCGAACATGCCTGGAAGTAAATGCCCAAGTCTACCAGCACTTCCTCCAATGGCCCCAGATCAACCGCTCATGCTGTTGCTCAGAGCTTGCGAGGACCTGGTTGCCGACCACCATGCGAACTTGCGTTGGATGCGGTTCGCACCTTCCACACTAAATCGCGCTGCCGCCGGGAGCAAGCATTCACCAAAGATACACAAGACTCGTGCTTTCCGTTCACCAGCTTCTGGCAGACCTCAGCATGCAGCATTGTCCGGGGAGCCCGTCAACATCATCCGATATAAATTGGGCTGCATTTGTGTTGAGCCGATGGGACATATTGTTAAACTAGACGGGCAAGTCACTTCGACCAAATTGGGCGCTCAGGAGCTTCTCCACACGCCGAACCGAAAGATGGCAGCAGTTCTGGGATTCTGGCAATCTCACCGGTGGCCACGGTTTCCTGCAGTGGCGGAATGTTCACCGACCCGGCATATTCCCCCAGCACACCGCGGCCTTGCCATCTTTGAGGACATCCACCTCCCAAGCACAAATCGCTAGCTCCACTGTGCTGTCTTCGCCGCCGCTAAGACTCTAGAATCGCGAATACTTGCCTTGATGGGATCTGTAAGAAGCCGTTTCTGTGTCGTCGGCGGAAACTCGAAGATCTGCAACGTGGCGAGAACAGTCCCCCATGTGCAAACGGACCTACGGGACCCACATAGTGTCTCCACTTGTGCGGCAGAAGCCATCCCCCGAAAATCCCAACATTGCGATCGCATCGGTAGAAACCTGCAAAGAAGTGTGGCAATCACCTCTTCGGCTAGATGCTTCAAGGAAAACTTTCGTGTCATGCTAGGTGACGGCTGTCAGTGTTGCTTGCTGTCTTTTGAACCCCATGCTGCGCAATGCAGAGCATCGTGCCTCCACCTTGTTCTGGAAACGAATGACTCCACCAACGCTCACTTGGCACGCCCTGTTTACATGGCAGGAAGAATCGAACTTGTGCTATACCCAAATCAAAGAAAATTTGCAAGGAGGACGTGGTCTTGTACTGCCCATTGGCACCTCAAGAAAGGTGGGCCGACATGGCAAAACAGCGAATGAGAATGAAACGTGCATCGTCATTGAGTCTCCGGCTGATCTTCAAGGCGAAACAGCTCCCGAACGGAAGGCCTTTGATCAAGACTCACCACTCTTCAGGGGTGTTGAGGCAGACATGATCTGTGACATCTCGACGGTCGTTTACCGAAGAAGGAGTGTTTCAATTTAGGATTTCCTGAGATCGCTGCCCACTACACGATATGGATAAATGGCGAGCTCGTTCGTCTCGGACCTACGAGCACACAGCGTCAGAAAGCAGAAGACTTCCTTGTCGGGTCCAGGCCCTCCCATGAGTTCATCCGATTGCTCCGTGATGGAAATGTTGCAGTACGGCCTTTGAAGCAGACAGAGTGCTTGCTTCGACATCACAGCTCTCCGAACTTGAAGCTGCGCCTGAAGCCGAAACCCAGCTCGACATCCTGCAGAAATCCAAAGCCGCCCTTCACCCAGATCTCGGCAGCAAGGCGCAGTGGCAACATGATGCAATCAATGCAAGCCGTGCAACACTGGCAAACGTTCCGCGGAAGCAGTCAAGGAACCCGAGCAAGTTCCCGCAACAAGGCTTGAAGCAACATCTGTGCATCATAGCAGTCACCTTTTTTTGCAGAGCATGAATGCACATGCCTGCAGAACATGCGAATGGCCAGCGCTCGTCTACACACGTAGCTCCAGGGTTGATTCGCCCAGAAAAGGTGCCTGAAGGCACAAAACAGTCAAATGAATCGCTTCAAGTAAACCGAGTGTTCCTGATATACCTCGATGCGCATGAAATGCGCATTCACTTATGCACGTGTCCTTTTCGAGAGATGCATCCGATAGGTTTTTCTTCGCGTCGGACAGTATGACATTCACAGAACTTTCGTCACAATGGCTTGCGCACCTGGACCAATCAGCGCACAAAATCGTCTGATGTTTGGACAGCAGACAGCTTGACGATTTTCGAAGGAATAAGAAAAACGAAGTGGATTTCTGGAGCTTCACCCTTGAGCCCCGGCAAAAGTGTGGCAAGGTAACAGAACGTCCGAGTGCAAAGCTGCACTGAGAAGTTGCTCTTAATATCGAGAAATCTCCCAAACTGTTCACAACTGGCTTGCTTTGCAGCACCCTTCCTGAGTTCGGCACGTTTGGCTCGAATTCCACGCCCAACCTCTACATTCAGAAACTCGCCTGCAAATTGGAACGAAAATCTTGGAATCGGACTGAAAGTGTTTCGTGAAGAGCAGCCAGGCTGGAGAAGTAAAGTTGACCTGAGCAACCAAGCCAGCTCTGCGAGGCTTCCTTGTGCAAACTCAGTCCTAGCAGCGCGTACTCTCTCGACAAAGTGTGCCAACTCACGGAAACGAAGGATCAACGATAAAGCACACTCAGTACATCTGCGGACATGCCATTGCTGGAGCAGTTTCAGTCCGCCTTTGAGGCAGCAGGGAAGCGAACGAATGGGAAACACCCAGGAACACAATCTGCGAGATGTCTGGAATGCCACAAGCGGACAAAGCAAGAATCGCTGCCCAAGAGCGTATGCTGGAGCTAATCCACATTTGAGCTCTGAACAGGCTGACTCGAATGCAGTGCCGGAGGCATTATCAAAAGCAGTGCGATGTTGCAAGGATACTCCGATACGAAGTGCGGCTGTGGCAGGCGACTAGCAGCGCCTCCAAGCTCTGAGCCAAAGACACTTCTCATTCCTAGCTGTCTTCTCAAAAAGAAGCCCCTGGCGTTCTTCATCTCCACAGAAAAGTTGTGCTGCTCGCCGAAGGTCTGGGTACGGCTTCAGAAGCCAACACCAGACCGTGACTGCCACTCTTGCGTCGTATGGAGACGCGGTAAGATGATGCACATGTGTTGGGCTTTGGGCGCCGTACTGTGTCGAAGTGCATCGTCCCGCGGCTGAGCAGCTTCGTTTCCAGGCCTCAGATCCACGAAGCAAGAGGTCCTAGAAGCTCCCACAAGAATTCAGATAAAATCAACGGACATAGCCCGAAAGAAAGGGATCCTTCGCGCAAGGACCCGTCGAAATCTAAGCGCCCTTGCCCACTCGCATGGTGCCCTTGAGCTGTCCGATGTGGAAGATCTTAGGGCACTGAACATCAGGAACAATTCCATTAAGCCCAAGTTGGCCTTCATATTGATGCTCCATCCTGGGGTCACCGTAATCGGCGTTCCACCTCCGACGTGCAAGAAGTACCATCATCCCATGCAAAGCAATGAGGCAAGGCCTATGTGAAAGGTGAAGGGGTGCATAAACTGCGCTGTGTCCGTCCTCTGCGAAACTCTGATTCCACTTCGGTGTCATGTTGTGAGATCGCTGGGGCCGAGACTTCAGCTTGCTGAGGATCGGAATAGGAAAGACGTCCAGCATGTTGTGAAGCACGGAGGAAGACCTGCCCAGAAGCAGTTCCACAGACGGCCCTTCAAGCGGATCGCGACCTGTCTTCGTCGAAGTCTGCAGCTGTGCCAATATCTAGGTCTAGGTCTGCATAGCCTGATGCATGGGAGCCGCGATTCAGTGTCAAGACTGGTGTGTGACTCTTTAAGCCGTCGGACTCTGGACGAGGATGTCCACTGTCTCATGTGGCCTCGATGTCTTCTGCGATTTCTCCACATGAGCCCGGCAAGGAGAGAGCACCAATGCGACTCGGGCATTGGCGCTTGCGTGATGTCCGGCATGTGACTACTCAGGTTCATCGTAAACCCGAGCCACGCATGCACCTTCGGCTTGAAGAGCCTCCGAGTCGCCACATCACTTCATTGAGCACCTTTTGTCCATTCAAACGGCGCCTGAGCCACGCCGTTCCACCCGGAAAGGTGTACTTGTACTGGGGGTTTTGCGTGCTGTTGGCCTGAGGGATGCTTGAGGCTGCGAGGCGGGGAACTGGCCAGAACGTGACCTGCCTCATATGTGTAGTTCCAATGAAATCGGTCCTGCTCAGTCGGATTGTTCAGATTGAAGAAGGTCTTGTCCTGCACATACCAAGGTAAAGTGATCGCCTCACTTCAACTCTACACAGATCACACCAACTGGCTGCCGCCTGGACGTCGTTGGCCTTGTCAGGTGTGAAGCCGGTCTTCATCTTGAAGTTGGTGCCTTGTCTACTTCTACACGGCCATAGCTGCCCGAGAGGGTTTGTGCGCCCCCCAACTGGAGCAGACCACGACAGATCACGGAAAACTAGTCATGTCTGACCCTACCAGTAGCAGTGGAAGTAGTCCGAGACGAACCCCGCATTGGTGCACAGCCCTGGGGAACTGCAATCTGCACAGATGCCACTCTGGCCGTTTTTTTGCAGCCCCACCAGAGCGCCCGGTAAGGATGGCGCCATGGACATCACCCACGCTGTTCAGGCCGTCCCGCACCAAGTCCATAAACGACTCAGACAGACCTTCAGCCGCAGCCGAGTCGGGGCTTCCTAGCCTCTGCCACATGCTCCGAGATCTCCACGGCGATGCTTAGACCGTTCCCTGGCCAGCACGAAGCACACAAAAACAACAGTATCATCGAAAAAACCTAGCAGCTCTGCCTGAGTTCGCGCTGCAGAACCTGAGGGTCCTTAGCCCCTGCAGGCATGATATGAATGTGGAACCTCGCACGCGATCTGTCATACCAAGGACTGCTCAACGATCAAGGAAAAGCAGAACCTGCATGACCGAAATACTTCTTGAGCTGTCGCCAGCTCCTTACGAAGTCAAGCCGAGCAGGAGGATAAGACAAGCACATCATGCACAATCCGGCAATCAGTATGTACAATCTGACAATCCTTGGTGTGCAGATCCACAAGCGCGGAATCTGCTTCCAACATAGCAATCTGGCAGGGCGCAACGAAACCCACGATAGTTTTTTCACCACCAAACCGTGCCTTGCGGATCTTCTGAATTCGGTGGTATAAATTCTTTTCTGCAAGGTGCTTGCCTTAAGTCAGCATGGAGCCATGCACTGCAGAAAGCAATGCAGGTGCAAGAGCGTCTGGCAGGGATGCAGCAAGTGTGAAGCAGTGACATGCTCCAGCTTTTCCATCCGGTGCAGGGTGTCCTTCGGAACCTGCTCCGCAAGTGTAGCTCTCGGCGACAAGGCCGGGCACGGATGCGTTGCTGCATCTGTTTGTGCGGTGTAAGCGCGTATGTGTATGTGTGTGTGTGTGCAACTTCCCTAGCACATGGGAACACAGGGTCGCTCCTATTGACCGTGAACATCAAATGGCATGTGTTGCTAGCATGTTGTGCCTGCAATTTGATTTTTACAGTTTCAAATCAGCGGATATACACAGCAGGGAAGTGGTGCATGCCGTTGGAGTCGCCGCTCAACGAAGACGCGCCTGGCAGCCCCCTGTGGTGCCACGATTAGAAAAGGACAGGACCCCTGTGGTGTCCAGATTAGGTTTTGCAACAGTTGTTCCATGCACAAGCTAGTCTACAACACACTGCCCCACCCCACTTTGCTGCCTCGACCTCTTCCCTTTGCAAATCTATCAGTGTGTCTCTGTGTGTGTGTGTGAAGTTCTCCTTCCCGAACTTATGAAAGTCACGTCCCAAGCAGTTGCAGTTTCATGTCACACGGTTGCTGCAGTAGCTTCAAGTTCAGCAATGAGCGCAGTTTCATGTTGTGCAGACTGAAGGCAAGCAATTAAATTTCAGCAGGGGAAACCAACACCCAGGATGTCGCAGTGGGGGTGGGGATAAAAGTGAGTGACCTGCTTTGTTTGTTTGTTGTGTTGTTTTAATGTGTGGTTGTTTGTTGATTGCGGTGGTCTGTTTGTTTGAAATTAAATCCAACCAGGAGTGCGTCCAACTTGTCGAACGTGTGCTGACAACGGTTTTCCGTTACGGCACCGCGGTGGCCTCGATCGGAGACAGTCCCCAATTGGGGATCTGTTCTTGTATCTTCTGAAACGGAGCTTTGTTTTCTCTCTCTCCCATTGTGGCTTTTCCAGCCATAACGTATTCAGCCACCTGATGGAAGCCCAAGGCTCCTTTTTTTGGCTTTATGGAACCCTCGACCCCCCACCTTCGGGTGCATGTGGGAAACATGACACATGACAGGTGCGTTTCTGAACTTCTAGTGTGGACGGTGCGCGCATCTACCTCGCAAGTCTGTCTCGCCTATTTTGTGTTCACTCTGTGCCTATTCCGCCTTTGCAAAGGCATGTGCGCAAGACGTCATTGCAACTGCAAAAGTCTTATGCATTAGGGTAAAGTGCTGCAGGAGAAAGGAGAACGTGTGAAAGCACGATTGGTTGGATTTGCAATGAGACTAGTGTGCGCTAGAATTTTGCAGCCCTTGGCTGCCGTTTGGAATCGCAACCTGGACGCGTGTCCCCTCGCAAAGCGTACAGGAACACAAGCAAACACGGGTGTCTCTTCTTGTTACAAACGCACAGCTGCAGATCAGTACTCTGCTAGAATGCTAGAATTTGAGCAACAGGCATCATAGATACATGCATGTGATACGTGAAGCAGACAGGCACCTGGATGTGTAACACTCTGCGTTTCAACCAGGCACACATTTAAAAACACGTCGAGCTGCATGACCGTGAAGTCAGCAGTCTACATTGCCTGTTGTTGCCCAAGCGAAATAAGAGCGGAGTGACATTGAGCTACATAATGACTTGCGAGAATCTATACATCCTAAGCCTGGAGACAGCCTTTTCAAAAGAGCAGAACAAGCACACAAAACGCAAACGGATCTTCGGTCAAAACTCTCTTTGAAAGATTGCCCACATGTTCAGTTTCCTTTCCAAGTCAGGAAAGCATACTGCACTAAACGGTAGAGCTCAGCTCTTGGCTCCACTTGATGCCAGCTATGGCAATTTGAATCGCATATGACTCTGCCCTGAGCATCTTCTCCAGTGAGAAGTATCTCATTGTGTTTAAGGTAAATATCCGATAGGAAGTACGCTATCCTATGAACGGCATTTTCCTTGACATGGAGAATGGAAAAGCGCGCTACAGAAGGATACCTTCTCCCGTGAGAAGCATTCCTTCCCTTTAAGTACTCATTCCACTTCTTCCATGTGATTGCACATACCCCGTCTCAAAAGTCGAGTTCGCTCATCCAGGGCCATACGCAAAGATCATCATGATGATAATACCACCGCTGAGGTTCCTCGGTCGGAGCAGTAAAACGAAAAGAAGGGTCAAGGTCAAAAGGTGGTACGGGAGAATGGTCGGAATGATTGCAGAAGGAACATACACCACATGTCAAAGACATTAGGTAGACATGTCAGATCGGCATGATCAAGACATGAAGGGTGGACAGAGTGATGGACATCCATACACCCACCGTTCCAAACACCCGCGGTTTCTTCTGCAAGCTGGCATCAAGTCGTGAAGGAAATGTATTAGGGGGAAACTCCGTTTCAGATGTCCCACCCTTGCCGACTTGACCATAGCTCATGAACGAGGAACGGGAGTGACTGCACCATCCTTTGAGAACACGTGTGTGTGTATCTCCTGTAGCCAAGGATTTGTTCGTAACTCTCGTTTTTTGCAGGGGGTGCCAGGGGATTGCAGAAGGCTGGCACTAACGAAGACCTGTCTGCTTTCCTGTGAAATCGACGTGGGACGCCAAGTCGACGTACCTGCAGTTTGTGACATAGTCAATCGTGCAAGCTGTTGCAGTTTTGTACAGTCGTCAGCCGCAACTGTTGAAGAGAGATGTAAACGTTCTGAAGCTGCCAGTCAAGAGTTCATTTCTCAGTTGGAGACCTGCAGACAGCTTCGTTCAGCGTGCTGTCTGCTCCGGGGTTGCCGCCAATGACCAGTTACAGTTCCCTGATCGGAACACGATTCCCGGATCGGAACACCTGACCTAAGCCTGCTGACTCTGACACCGTCTGCACATCGCCTGAGAATCAGTCTGCCGACTTTCAATACATTCAACAATGTCTCCAACTGAGCTCATCCTTAACACTGAATGCGCTGATTTGTCTTTGTCTGTAGTTTGATTCTGCTAGCCTGCAGCTAGACTACTGTGCGCCATGTGGAATTCCGATTCTCGCCGGTGGTCAAGCAGTTCCGGGTACCCGAGTAATCGTGATTGGAGCAAGAGCAAGCAGCAAGATTGGTCAACTTCGTCGAACAGTTGGTGGGATTCTCGTAAGGATTCCACTCACACGCCTACTGTTGCAGCAGCCGAGCCAACAATCCCATCTCACTTCAAGAGTGACGACAAGTTCTTTGATTCGACCGCTGTCGGATCAGGTAATCACCAGTTTCATCGTGCGGTTCAGTCTACTGATTGGTCCTCAGAAAGGTCCAAATCGCTGGCAGACCTGTTGATGGTCTTCGAGTGCATGAACTGTGTTTTCGTGGAATGAGTGAGTTTTCGTTGCGCATGCTACCGGAAGGGCGGTTCTAATCCGTTGTCTGGACGCGCAATACGGCAGCGAGTGTTTTGGTCACGCAGTTGCTCAAAGGCATTCGTGAGATGAAGGTTGATGTTGATTCTGTCGCACTGGAGTGTCTCAAAGAACGCAGTCTTCCTGTTCCTGACAAGCACAAGCAAGCCGCAGCATTCATGCAGCCGTTGATTGATTTGCTGTTGAAGGAGATGAAGTCTCATGTTCCTTCAGTTGCAGCTTCGTCTAATGCTGACACGGCAGAATTGATTCGAGCCAAAGCCAAGCGTGCGCAAGCTGGTACCACCTTGACTCCTCGGAAGCCAGTTGCTGAGCCAGGTACTGCATCGCAGGATAGTGAAAGTCCGGAAAAGCCTGAGAACACGAAAAGACTTGCCCATTGAAAGCAGGCGTGCCAAGAAGCGCAAGGCAGACGAAGAGGATCCTTCCAGCCAGACCAAGAAGCTCTTGGGCGGTCAAGCAATCACATCTTTGAAAGAAAATCGGCCGAAAAGCAAAACCACGGAGCACGTTGAGGCTTGGATGCAGACGTTCCAGCAACAAAACAAAGGCAAGTTTCGTGAGCTCAACAAGCATGTCAATTTTGTCGTCAAGTTACTGACAGAGACGCAGACAAGAATGAGATGGTGGAAGCAGCCATCAAGTTCGGACTTGATCGCAAATTTGCAACCAGATTGAGCATCACAAACCGTAGCAAGTGCATCGCCGTTGCTAAGCACCAAGCTGCCTGACTCACAGCGCAAGTGGAGAAGACAGATATGACGCGGGTGGTCGTACGAACCGCCTTGCTGCGCTGCGTGACATTTGTCAGCAGCTCGGGCAGGCATTAACCTTGCATCTTCCGAAAGCTGACATTAATTGGGCTCAGGGCCTGCTTCACATTGTTTTGCTCTTTCACTTTCAAGATACGCGGCTGCAGTCGCGGGGATACAATCTACGGTGCAAGCTACAGAGCATGGGATTGTCTCCATTACACTATTCTTGGCTGCAATGCGCGGACCCTTTTGCAGTATATATTAAAGTGGCTGTGGATTGGCGATGTGGATCTGGTATTGGACAATATCGTCAGCCCAACACAATGATGTATATTGGATCGGCCGGCGTTTCGGTGACACTACGGGAGGCCAATCGTATGTCTGTTCTGCGTAAGTTGGAGCAAGGCCAAGAAGCTCGGGTCGAGTTGGCTATCCGGTATTGGCATCAGAATTCGTGTTTTCGTCAGTTCACATTGATCAAGATTGCATCTTGCAGTAGCTACCGTGCAGCCTGGACATTGGAACATGTATTGATTTCACACTGGCAGCCGAAGTTGAACTATCCGTTTGTTCAGGTCTTTCTGAAGCGGACTGCACTTGGCTTCCGTCCTGCTCGCCGGCAACGTTTTACTTCTTTTTCACGGTGTGGTGTCCGACTCTGGAGAAAGTTGCGTAAGAGACTCTTTCACAGCGTTCAGCCGTTTGAGTGTGCAGTGAAGCGACGTCAAGCATGGAAGATCTTGTGTGACCTGTCCAGTTTCACACGTGCTAGTTTTGAGGCAGTAAAGCTTCTCCGGAGCCAGAAAATGGTGGATGATGAAGTGTACGCCATTGTTCGATTGAGTCTCTGTTTGGAGGAACCACTGAAAACAAGAGTCAGGAGCCTTCTTCGCAAAGCGGTGCAA